CGTACGCACAACTTAAGAACAAATCTGTGCGTACCAACGGTTCTTGCATGAGGCCCATTGTCTTGCTGAAATATCCATCCCCGGTGTAACTTCAACTTCGTTAACTGATTCTTGAACATTATTCTCAAGAATCTGCTGATATGGAGTGGAATCCATGCGACCCTCAACTTTAACACGATTCCCGGTGCCGGCCTTGGCCACACAGCCCCAAAGCATGATGGAACCTCCACCAAATTTTACAGTGGGTAGTAAGTGTTTTTCTTGGAARGCTGTGTTTTTTTGCCGCTATGCATAACGCCTTTTTTTGTATGACCAAACAACTCAAGCTGTTTCATCAGTCTACAGGACATTCTTCCAAAATGAAGCTGGCTTGTTCAAATGTGCTTTTGATGTGCCCATGATGCCACTCTTCAGAGGAGATTCAAATAGGAGAACTTGCAATTGGCCACCTTAAATACCTTTTCTCATGATTGGATACACCTGGCTATGAAGTTCAAAGCTCACTGAGGTTACCAAACCAATTTTGTGCTTCAGTAAGTCAGTAAAATGTAGTTAGAAGTATTCAAATCAATAAAATGATAAGGGTACCCATACTTTTGCACCTGTCAAAGTCTGGTTTAATGCATATTGCACATTTTCTTTTAGTACAATAAACCTCATTTCAATCCTGAAATATTACTGTGTCCATTAGTTATTAGATATATCAAACGGAAATAGCTGTTGCAAACACCCAAATATTTAGAAATAAAAATGGTTAAGATTAATAGGGGTGCCCAAACTTTTTCATATGACTGTATCACTAAGAATATATGTTCTATTATCTGATCGGAGGATTTTCAGTCAACTTAAGACCCTTCCATTTTCTTTATTTCCAACTGATTATAAAGAGATGGTAAAAAAAGGTTTTGTTTGTCTCTTTTTTCAGTGGAAAAGAAGGATATGAAGAATCAGAATTAATGTCATACGGTGTTAAAATGTCTAAGGAGGGTTTAAAAAAGCTAAACCCTTTCACCATGCATTCAGTACAGCAGAAGGATAATTACTTTCTGTTGCCAACATCTGTGGCATGGCCTGCTGCTCCATCTCTGTTTAGGACAAACAGGTACAAGTATGAGAGTGTGAAGCTAAAAAAAACGTGTAAAACAACACAGAACTAAGCCAAAGTAAACTTTTTAACACAAAAGTGTACAGTGTGGTGAAATGCCATGAGATTAACACAAGAAACCCCTTTTTGTGTCAATGCAAAATGTGTGGTGAAGTAATGTGATCACCTGGGTATGGCAGGCACACGTCTGCCATTCTCATCAATGAAGTGGCCACCAGCGTTTAGAACCCAGCGATGATGCAGGGACATGAGGGCGTGTCTGGCTGTGGTGGGCGTGTCCTTTCCATCCTGAGTGTCTGCGTTTTTCAGCGGGGAGAACTCGTCCTCTCTCAGGGCCTCAAACACGACAAATGTCCTGTTGAAAGCACACACCATCACATCACTGTTATACACAGAGAAGATTTGTTACGTTTATAAAGCAGAACTATTAAAAATGAACTGAATAAAAATCAGCAACACCAAACTGACTCTTGATGTCAAGACCATTGAGACATCTTGGAAGTTGAGGTACGTACAAATAAGGTTTCCGACAAGTTCTCGAATCTTCTTCAGAAAAAATAGTGAGGATATAAAAACTGTCTGAGCCATCAGTTCGGGGTCAGATCTTCGCTGCATCTTGAAGAGTGAGGAGTCCAGGCCTGGGGTCGGTTGGGGGACTGAGTACCTGACCTAGAATCCTGAGCTCGAACACTCAGAACAAATAGTAATGTGTAGTGCAAAGGTATTTTGGACTGTGGAGTAGTTAGTTTAGCAGTATCTGCTGTTGAGGTATGAAGATCGACCATTTTTTTATTTTGCTGAATAGCTGCATCCAGGCCAATCCTCAGATCAACAGCTTTGCACCAGATAGGTGAATGTAAACTGAGGTATGAATTCATCTATCCGTACTCTTGTTCACATCAAACTACTTTCATTTTTAAGTATATTTACAGTTATCCATAGGGAAAGATTATACTTAATTTGGGAATTATTCTGAATATTATGATACTGTGTGGAGATCTGATCATTTTCCTCAACAGGGGTCAGATTTATAAAACTGGCGTACGCACAATTTGAGCCCAGAAACTRGCGTATGCCACTTTTCACACCAAGGTTGTGATTTATAAAATCCAAACTTGACGTGAAAATGTGCGGTGCCTTTACCTTCATCAGACTTAGATTTTTATTCAACTTTATCATCAGCTTTCTTAACAGTAATATTTATGCTTCTGCTGCTGCTGAGCCATGAGGACCTTTGAAATAAAAAAAACTTAAATCTTAAATAAAAGTTCCCATGCGCAACTCCATTCATCTGCTTCCTCCTCACGACCCTGACCCACAGACCCCTCCCTGTCCCACAGACCCCTCCCTGACCCACAGACCCC